TCTGTCTGTCTGTCTGTCTGTCTGTCTGTCTGTCTGTCTGTCTGTTTGTCTGTCTGTGTGTTTGTCTGTCTGTCTGTCTGTCTGGGTTTTTTTATTTTTCCATGGACTAAATGGCCATTGTTGAGTTGACGCTCTTCTCTCTGCACGAACTAAGCCACTGTTCTCCTGCGTCCCAGACAAGCAATATTAACTCATTGCGGACGCTCACTCTGTTCTTTCGAACGCTTGAAACACGATCCTCTAGAATACTTTTTAAAAAGCATAATAACTTTGTTATTCATACGTAGTTTTTAATTCCGTTTCCATTATCTGACACGTAAAAAGACAGATAACAATTGTGTATTTATAATACAATATGAAAACGTGTGTTTCTAGTCTGTACGATGGCTCGAAATATCCCACAACTTTGCTTTTCATCTGCTGCAGTCGGACATGTGTGTCCGATTCGTCCTTAATGAGTTAACGTGGCATCTTGGGGAAATCAGGCGCGCGCTTGACACAATAATGAAACCCTAGAAACCGAGGTTTTGTGTTGATCTAATGGCTTCACTCGAGCTTTTATTTTCATGTATGTTTGATTGAGTACAGAAATATGCACAGACAAAACATTGACCATATTGTGCTGAGTCAGAGCAAAATGGACAAACTGAAACAACAAGAGGGCGACAGAAAAGAAGTGGGGGCGTGCGAGGGGTGTGCTTTTCTCCCATTAGTTTACATTATCAGATCTGTTTACACTATCACTATCACTAATGACGTCAGAACGAAGCAGAATGCCGCGGATCACAATAGAGAGCTTGTCACACCCCGGAGCAACTTTGTTGTCGGCAAGACTCCAGGGGAGCTCAGATTAGCCCGAGCTTTGTTTGGGGAAAAATACAACTGTAGAGGGCGATTTTCAATAATTGCAAACAGTTTTGATTGCTGTGCAAGAGAACAAGCAATGGCGTGTAGCCTTGACCTCTCCTTTCCTTGCTCTGACTGCAATCGTATATTGATAAACGTGTGTTTATCACACACACACACATGCACACACACACACACACACACACACATACACACACACACACACACACACACACACACACACACACACACACACCC